CGCAGAGTCGACCAAATACGTTAAAAACGCGATGCATTAATAAAAAAAATTAGAACAGCGTAAAAATGGACGTTTTCTATGCCTCAGCCTCGATAAATGGGATTGGCTGGTTGGGTTCTTACGTGGCAGGCGAAACCGTTGCATCATTTACGGAGAACGCGGGAGGATCTTTAGGGTCTGAGAGGAGCACGAAACGGTTTGGGAATTAGCACAGGGGGGTTAGGAGTAGGAGGGGGGGGGAGGAAGGGGGTTGGGGGGAGGGGGGGATGTCTCTGGCTCTAATTAAGGTCACGAAGTCATTGACCCAGATGTTGTGACGTCAGGAGCTTGAAATTGACTTTCAGCTTGAGATTGACTTACAGCTTGAGACTGACTTACAGCTTGAGACTGACTTACAGCTTGAGACTGACTTACAGCTTGAGACTGACTTACAGCTTGAGACTGACTTACACGAAGCTTCGCAAGAAGTCAGAATTGGAATTTTGGTCTTTCGTTTTGTTGATGGACTTGAAAAGTTGATGGACTTGAAAAGTTGATGGACTTGAAAAGTTGATGGACTGGAAAAGTTGATGGACTTGAAAAGTTGATGGACTTCAAAAGTTGATGGACTTGAAAAGTTGACGGACTTAAAAAGTTGATGGACTTGAAAAGTTGATGGACTTGAAAAGTTGATGGACTTAAAAAGTTGATGGACTTGGAAAGTTCATGGACTTGAAAAGTTGATGGACTTGAAAAGTTGATGAACTTGCAAAGTTGATGGACTTGAAAAGTTGATGGACTTCAAAAGTTGATGGACTTGAAAAGTTGATAGACTTTTCAAAATATTCTTGACAAGTATTTCACATATTTCTAATATTCAAAAAGCCACCCTCAACACTTTTCACTTAAGTACTTAATCCTTAAATTAAAAATGTCGGTCACTTTTAATCATTAATTATTTGAGAACAATTATAACTGAATTAACCTTTGTTCCCATAATAAATTATTTAATGTTGAAATTATTATTTTTTTATGCAAGTGCTTTGAATCAAATGCTTTTCCAAGCAAATTATATCACAGAATTTTCAGGAAATTTGTAAAAACTCCAAATTTTCACCTGTCGTTAAAATTCCCAGTTTTAAAAGATATTTATTAATGTCAAATTTTCGATTTGAGTACTGTTGGGTAGTCTGTTTGAAGGGAATTTCGTAATATTAGCTTTCAGAGATTGTTTGGCTATAACCATGAGGCCAGATTCACGAAGCAGTTACGCAATTACTAGCGAAGCTGGGGCCAGATTCACGAAGCAGTTACGCAAGCACTTACGAAGCTGGGGCCAGATTCACGAAACAGTTATGCAAGTACTTACGAAGCTGGGGCCAGATTCACGAAGCAGTTATGCAAGTACTAACGAAGCTGAGGCCAGATTCACGAAGCAGTTACGCAAGCACTTACGAAGCTGGGGCCAGATTCACGAAGCAGTTACGCAAGCACTTACGAACCTGTCCATCTTTTCTCAATCTTTGGCGGCTTTGTTTACAATTATTAAACAGTTAATGAGCTCCGAAGCACCAGGAGGCTGTTTATAACAATAACAACAGTTGATTGGCAAGTTTTCATGCTTGTAAACTGTTTAATAAATGTAACCAAAGCCGTCAAAGATAGAGGAAAGATGTTCACGTTCGTAAGTGCTTGCGTAACTGCTTCGTGAATCTGGCCCCATGTTATTAGAACCTGTTAAAATCATTTAGGTCCTCTACCCTTTGACCTCGGATCTGGTGTTGGTTAACTTGTTAGATCTTCAAACCGGAATGTTTGATACTTGAAGAATATAGAATTGAAATAATGAATTTTGGAGAGTTAATATTTTAACTTCCAATCTCAAGTGAAGATAAATGTCAGGAAAGTAGAGATTAAGGTTCGTGTTAGAATCATTGTCCTCACCTTTTAGGTTACATTTAATAATACATGCTCCAATATATATATATATATATATATATATATATATATATATATATATATATATATATATATATATATATATATATATATATATAGACATCTCACAAGATTTATTGTGGCCTGAATTTCACTTCTGGCAATTAGCCCATGTAACTAGGTCAATGTACCCCAGACCCTGATGATATGAAGATGGAAGGGAAGACGATGAGCTTGGTACTAAGATGGTACTGTGTGGTACTAAAAGGTACTTAGTACTACACAGTACCTCATGGTACAAAGTCTGTAACTTTTCATGTTTACTGTTACTGCAAATATGTTCCATGTATTCAGGGATATTCCTACGTGGGCCCTAAGCCTCTAACTGGCCCACTAAGTGGTGTCAAATGGGCTGGTAATTCCCTCTTGAATCTATGAAGCATCAGTCAGAATTATAGAATACATTATAGTCTCTCCAGGTGTGTGTGTATGTGTGACATATTTTCCATACCTGACCTTGGCCTCTTGAAGATATATCTAGGACATGAGCTCATTCCGGACCTGCCTCTCGCTGCGTTACGCCATGGTTGGAAAAAGTAGGACATGAAGAGCCTCGCTGCTGACCTAATCAAAGTATTCTTGCTGGGGCTTAGTAAGCCATTAGCCATCCTGGCGCGCGCACTACACCCCCACCATCCACGTCGCTCAGGAGACAACTGATATTTTCAGTGGAGTGAGGCGCCCGGTTACAACAACAAAGTTTTGACAACATTTCGCGTCAATGAAGTTTATCCAGTTTATCCTTCCTGTCTGCGACAAGGGAAGTTGCTGATCGCTCTGAAAATGAGCTAATAGTCTGTAACTTATCCGGAAGATTATTAAAAATCTTCGTTCTGTGGTCTGAAACGTGTCCGACTTACATATCCCGGTTTTGGCGCCAAAAAAGGACTTCCGGAAGCCGACATTCCGCGTTTGTCAACAGGTAAATCAAGCAGCATTCGTGTCTGCGAGAAGAGATTGTCCAGAGATTGTCTCCTGCGTCTCTCAAGATGACCTAGTCATCAGAGAACAGTGTCATTCAAGAAAACTTTAATAATATAGTTAAGACACGTCGCAGAACTCGCTCTAACAAGTGGTACTGGAACCTCCGACTTGAGGAGGCGTTGGAAGATTGCTTCAAGCAAGTTTGCTTCTATCCATATCAACCCAGACTGCTGTTGATAGACATTCACAGCACCAGAAACACAGCTCAACTGCTCTCCAACAACGAGGTACGTTAACACAAACGGCCTTCACCCTCAAATCACCAAAACATAACCCACATTAATTTTTTAACGTTATACAGACGTAATGACGTTGTAAAATCGTTGTGATTACGTTTGGTCCTTTCTTGATTCTGATCACTATAGATTACCTGGCTTCCTGTGTATAGTTTAGTCTCCAAGCTCTATTGGAATGGGACAGGTCTATAGAGTCACTCTACAGACTTGTTCTTCTCCAGCATATTCTATACAATAAGTATTCCTACTACTTACAATAATATTAATAATACCAATAATAATAATAATAATAATATAAATACTTTTTAACAGAGAGAGAGAGAGAGAGAGAATGAATTTAAAATTCGATATATGCATTTCGAATCTAATTCTAGAGTCTAGTTTTTAGAGTGATTGACTGAAAACCGTCTTGGGTCTCCTGAAGAAGACCTGTAGCATAGTGGCCTACATCCTTGGCTTACAACTGAGGGACCCGGGTTCAATCCCCGCACAGAGCGGAAGCGACTGGGCACATGTCCTTTCCTAATGTCTCTGTTCACCTAGCGATAAAATATCTATCAGTTATGGAGAGAGAGAGAGAGAGAGAGAGAGAGAGAGAGAGAGAGAGAGAGAGAGAGAGAGAGAGAGAGAGAGAGAGAGAGAGAGAGAGAGAGAAACAGATAGCCAAAAACACACACCCAGACACAAAATACATCCCCCAACATAATACAACATTACAAAATACAAAAAAGACCCCAAATACAGCAGCCAGACAGACAGTAGCATCCCCCACTCCCAGAGGACACTAAGTACTCTACGCTCCAGGGCTCATTATGTGCTAGAGTAATTAAGACAGAAGTGTGAGACGTCATCAGACCTATACTCACTCTAGCCTTACCAACCTCTCTAAACAACAGTAACATCCATAGGTAAATGATACAGCACTTATACATACATACATACATACATACATACATACATACATACATACATACATACATACATACATACATACATACATACATACATATATGTATATATGTATATACATCAACGACCACAACATATTCCTTCATTCAACTTTGCTCTGATGAAGGCGAATTAAGCCGAAAGCATTCTCTATTTTTCACATGTGGTTTTTCCACATATATGTATATGTATTCAGCTCCAAAGTAGGTTAATGGTCACATATTATACATAATGTTAATCCGGTGGATTCTCAGAGGAATATGTAGTTTCCTATATCACGCTTCACTTCACTCATCCTGTTACGAAACATGTACATCTTTCCGTAAATATGGCGACTTAGTTTACATTGACTACACTGAATACTAGTTTCGAAGCAGTCATGACTGAGGAAAGATGTACCGGTTTCGTCAGTGATTGGGTAATTTTTTTTTAATGAATCCTGGTCCGGGTTTAAATCAGTATTATATCAACAATAGCACCAGTGTCGAGGCTTTAATGGCATCGCTGCTAGCAGGGTCGGCGTTCGATTCCCGGTGTCCGCAGTTTCTTTATTTTCAGATGGGTGAGGTTGAGTGTCTACAATCACCCACATTAATGTAATCCCTACAATCACCCACATTAATGTAATCCCTACAATCACCCACATTAATGTAATCCCTACAATCACCCACATTAATGTAATCCCTACAATCACCCACATTAATGTAATCCCTACAATCACCCACATTAATGTAATCCCTACAATCACCCACATTAATGTAATCCCTACAATCACCCACATTAATGTAATCCCTACAATCACCCACATTAATGTAACTATCCTACCTGCAAAACCACATTCATTTCAGTAGGTTTTCTCACCAGCGAGAGAAGAGAAGTGAAACTGCCTAACGACCCTAAGGGCGACCCTAAGAAGGTCATCAGGTCCTTCGCGATGAAGATGGTGGGCACAGAAGTCCTTCTGAAGATGTTGGGAGTCCTGCTAGGAGCCTCTCTCAGCCTCGTACGGGGCCTGGCTCTCTATATAGATGGTAACCAGCCTTATCTGCCGGTGAAAACGCCGTTCGACTCCCGGATGAGCAATGTAGGTGTCTTACGATGTCTGATTTAGTGTGGTAGGTCGCTTACGATGTCTGATTAGGATGGTAGCTCACTTACGATGTCCTATTTAGCATGGTAGGTCGCTTATGATGTCCTATTTAGCTTGGTAGGTCGCTTACGATGTCTGATTAGGATGGTAGCTCACTTACGATGTCTGATTTAGCATGGTAGGTCGCTTACGATGTCCTATTTAGCTTGGTAGGTCGCTTACGATGTCTGATTAGGATGGTAGGTCGCTTACGATGTTTTATTTAGCTTGGTAGGTCACTTACGATGTCTGATTTAGCATGGTAGGTCGCTTACGATGTCTGATTTAGTATGATAGGTCGCATACGATGTCTGAGTAGGATGGTAGGTCGCTTACGATGTTTGATTTAGCATGATAGGTCGTTTACGATGTCTGATTAGGATGGTAGGTCGCTTACGATGTCTGATGTAGCATGCTAGGTGCTTACGATGTTTGATTTGGCATGGTAGGTCGCTTACGATGTCTGATTTAGCATGGTAGGTCGCTTACGATGTCTTATTTAGCATGATAGGTCTCTTACGATGTCTGATGTAGCATGGTAGGGCTCTTACGATGTCTGATTTAGCATGGTAGGTCACTTACGATATATGATTTAGCATGGTAGGTCGCTTACGATGTCTGATTTAGCATTGTAGGTCTCTTACGATGCCCGACTCGATCATGGAGGCTTAGTTTGTATTCACTAAACAGTTTACGAGCTTGAAAACCTCCCAATTCATGGTTATTATGTTGTATAAACAGCCTCGTTAACTTCGGAGCTCATTAACAGCTTGATAAATGATAAATGACTGTGAAAAGATGTACAGGTTTCGCAAAGTAGATACACCAAGAAAGTGACAACGTTTCGGTCTATCCTGGTCCAGGATGGTACGAAATGTCGCCACTTTCAGTCATTACTGACGTGTGAATTGAGTGTATAAATGTTCAACAACTTTGATTGATTGATTAAGTCGGCCCAAGAGGTGGCACGGGCATGAATAACCCGTAAGTGGTGTTGTGATGTTGCTGTTTTAGATTCAGCTACTTAGAACAAAAGTTCGAAAGTAGCACGGGCTATGGTGATCCCGTAATGGCGTTGTGAGGCTCTTGGTCTTAAGTACTATTATGACTCGTGACCTTTGACCTTTATTTCTTCTCTGGGCCTCCGGGACAGCTTCCGGAAGTGGATAGACAGCAGAAGGAGAGGTCGAAGCGGTCAGCTGTTCTCGTATGGCCGGAAGGTAGCTTGTTTGTAGCTGAGTTCTACTTTGAAATCCCTATTAAGGCTCCCTCAGGGCTCGGTAAGTAATTTTTATTAGTTTCTACCACAGACGTGGCCAGACATTTACGATGCTAACCAGAATATATATATATATATATATATATATATATATATATATATATATATATATATATATATATATATATATATATATATATATATATGTATGCGGAAAATCCACAGAGAAATATGAAATGAGGTGAACGTTTCGGCTTTGTTAAAGCCTTTGTCAACACCAGACTGACTGACTTTGAGTCAGTCTGGTGTTGACAAAGGCTTTAACAAAGCCGAAACGTTCACCTCATTTCATATTTCTCTGTGGATTTTCCGCATAAAATGATCAGTGTTTTGTGATCATCAATTGCACATATATATATATATATATATATATATATATATATATATATATATATATATATATATATATATATATATATATATATATATATATATACATTTTCTTGACTGGGTTGTTTTCTTCGCTTGTGGTTGAAAATTAAAGTAATTTTTTTTTGCATTTCAATGTTTATTTGTAAATTTAATGTTTTGGCCAACTTTTTATTGGAATTATTACAATTAAAGTTGGATAATATTTTTGGAAATAAGGCTTTTATTTCTTGGGTATTTTACTTCTCTTGAACTCACCTAGTTGTACTCACCTAGTTGTGTTTGAGGGGGTTGAGCTCTGGCTCTTTGGTCCCGCCTCTCAACCGTCAATCAACAGGTGCACAGGTTCCTGAGCCTATTGGGCTCTATCATATCTACACTTGAAACTGTGTATGGAGTCAGCCTCCACCACATCACTGCCTAATGCATTCCATTTGTCAACCACTCTGACACTAAAAAAGTTCTTTCTAATATCTCTGTGGCTATCTCTTCTAATATCTCTTGTGTGTGAGTATAGAGATCTGCAACTCAAGAAAGTTTCTGGTTAACCATTTAAGGGGGCCTCGTAGCCTGGTGGATAGCGCGCAGGACTCGTAATTCTGTGGCGCGGGTTCGATTCCCGCACGAGGCAGAAACAAATGGGCAAAGTTTCTTTCACCCTGAATGCCCCTGTTACCTAGCAGTAAATAGGTATCTGGGAGTTAAGTCAGCTGTCACGGGCTGCTTCCTGGGGGTGGAGGCCTGGTCGAGGACCGGGCCGCGGGGACACTAAAGCCCCGAAATCATCTCAAGATAACATCCTATATGTTTCTGGCTACCATTCTTCTCTACAGACATCCCCTTTACCATTGATGTTCCCTACGAATTTACGCTGCCAAACATCACTGCAAAAAGTGACTATCTGTCTCGAAACATCAACCAGGCCGACGATCGTTTAGGCCTATATGGAATCATGGAAGGGATCTTTAACAAGTGAGTGACGCTCATTTGCATATACATATGTCTATATATATACATATCTTGTATAATAAAGTTTTCAATACACTGAAAGATTATCAAATAAATACAGGTGATATACAGGTACACACACACACACACACACACACACACACACACACACACACTATCTACTCCCATGACCTAATAGACCCTATTCACAGGTTTGGAATGGATGGTAAGGCTTGTCTAATGCGCGCTGTCTGTGAAGGATCTCAATCTAGCCTCCTAAGGGCTGGTATGCTAGGAGAGGTTATCACTACTATCCTTACGTGAGTACTGGGTCACTAATCCCGTTCTCACTTGAGTACTGGGTCACTAATCCCTTCCTCAATTGAGTACTGGGGTCACTAATCCCTTCCTCATTTGAGTACTGGGTCACTAATTCCGTCCTTACTTGAGTACTGGGACACTAATCCCTTCCACACTTGAGTATTGGGTCACTAATCCCTTCCTTACTTGAGTACTGTGGTCACTAATCCCTTCCTCATTTGAGTACTGGGTCACTACTTCCGTCCTCCCTTGAGTACTGGGTCACTAATCCCTTCCTTACTTGAGTACTGGGACACTAATCCCGTCCTCACTTGAGTACTGGGGTCACTAATCCCTTCCTCAATTGAGTACTGGGACACTAATCCCGTTCTCACTTGAGTACTGGGGTCACTAATCCCTTCCTCATTTGAGTACTGGGTCACTAATTCCGTCCTTACTTGAGTACTGGGTCACTAATCTCGTCCTCACTTGAGTACTGGGGTCACTAATCCCTTCCTCATTTGAGTACTGGGTCACTAATTCCGTCCTTACTTGAGTACTGGGTCACTAATCTCGTCCTCACTTGAGTACTGGGTCACTAATTCCGTCCTTACTTGAGTACTGGGTCACTAATTCCGTCCTTACTTGAGTACTGGGTCACTAATCCCGTCCTCAATTGAGTACTGGGTCACTAATCTCGTCCTCACTTGAGTACTGGGTCACTAATTCCGTCCTTACTTGAGTACTGGGTCACTAATCCCGTCCTCAATTGAGTACTGGGTCACTAATCTCGTCCTTACTTGAGTACTGGGTCACTAATCTCGTCCTTACTTGAGTACTGGGTCACTAATTCCGTCCTTACTTGAGTACTGGGTCACTAATCTCGTCCTCACTTGAGTACTGGGTCACTAACCCCATACTTTATTAAGTGGTCAATATAACTCTCCCCTTAACATTACTGTAGCTCGTGCTATCACTCAATCATCCAGAGATAACACTGTGTGTTATCTTAGATCATGGTGGGTGAACACTCCTAGGTTATCGTTTGAGGTTATTACTTTGTTATCATCTTAATGGTTATCATTGTTATTACTTTGTCAATGGTTATTAATGTGGGTTGAATGATATCAGGATTGGGTCATTGGCCTTATCTAAGGGGTAATGGGTCGTTATTTCAGGACCATTGACCATTAATAAGTGACTGTTGCTATCGGTTGTTCAGTGTTTTTAATCTCAGTTCACTCCTATCTATAACTATTAAGGAAATCCAAAATTAAATATTAAAATTCATATTAAATATTAAAATATTTAATATATTCACATTAAATATTAAAATTCTTATTAAAACTTTTTAAAATAATTATACAGTATATTGGGAACATAAATTAAAATTCACCCAGTGTCCATAAAGAAATAATTACAATTAAAAATACAATTGAGTGTTTAGAATTGTAAATTTTAGATTTTTTTAGAATTAGAATTTACAATTGAAACATAGTGAGAGGATTGGAAAATGTACTAATTACTGGTTAAAGTAATTTTATTGCTTAGGTAATTTAGCGATTTGGCGAACGGCCTTTTAATTTAAGTATATAAAATATAAATATTTCATACTTAGAGGTTTTTAGATAAGATATATACGATTATAGGAATTTTTTTCAAGCAAGTTAGTCTAAGGAGATGAGAAGAGAGTGAGATGTGAGTTCTCATGTTAATTAGTTTCCTCATTCGGGCAGAACCACTCATTCCCATCTCTCCCTCGCCTATCTATCTCTATCTCTATCATCCACTATTTCCGTACCATCAGACAGATACCCAACCGTCATCCAATAACATTGATCAAGTCGACTATCAGTGCAGCATCTCTACTGTAAGTTATACTGACTCGACGAAACCAGGAGATAACTTCGACTCTTTCCAGGGCATCGTTGTCGACTTCTCTGGCTGAGATGAAGGACTATGTAGAGGCTGAAGAGTATGGACGCTCTCACGGTGACTGTCAAGCTATGTTCCCGACGTGTTCGATCTCCATCTTTAGATTCCTAGAGTGAGGTACAGACGACACATGAGCCATTCATCCTCAGATAACAAACATCTTCTCACAAGATAACATTTCATCAAGAACTAGATACTACGCCTCATAACTATTCCTTATAGCCATTTTCATCTACAGAATGTTGACTTCTTGTGAAAATGACAGTAATTTCTTATCAATTTAAACAAATCTAGTTTGATTCACCAAGCTGTTTGTAGGTAGTGTAGGTAATAGTCTTAATTATTTATTTATTTTTTCTTCCTTATATATATATATATATATATATATATATATATATATATTATATATATATATATATGTATATATATATATATATATATATTCATTTTCTTTGTAATAAACTATTAAAACATATCTGTGTATAGTTATCATTCTATGGTTATCTATGGGAAGTTTCGATAACTGAGGGGAATGTGGTGATCACACACAGGAATATATACATTGAGAGGTGTATATATATACCCAGCTTCTCGGTATATATATATATATATATATATATATATATATATATATATATATATATATATATATATATTGAGGTCTATTAAATCTATGGAGGGCTATACATATTATACATATATACATACATACACACAGGCTTCATGTCCATGACAAAGTGAATTATTTAGGCGACTTTTACATTGTACAATGTTCCTTGAGTTACCCCTAACTTTCAGGAATTATAGAAAAAGTTCAGCTAAAGGGCATTGAAAGAAAACTAATTTCACCATAAACTTGTGTATAATTTCAAGGCCCTGTCCCCCCCCATACTAGGATCATCAGAAGGCCCACTGTACAGGGTCAAAGATATATAAAATATCGTAAAAGCAGGTAATTAATTTGTACATCTAATTTCGTCTAATCGCCCCACCCCCTCTAAAGACCCCAAGGCTTATGTCTATGCAACCTATAGGCCTAGTTTATAGATTGCATTCACACGAATAGAATGTTTCTCAGACAAGTTGCCTGACCTCCGGGTACCTGTTTACTGCTAGGTCAATAGAGGCATGAGGTGAAAGGAAACATTCGTCGAACCCAGAACCCAGGAACCCAGGAGAGAGAGAGAGAGAGAGAGAGAGAGAGAGAGAGAGAGAGAGAGAGAGAGAGAGAGAGACAGACAGACAGACAGACAGACAGACAGACAGACAGACAGACAGACAGACAGACAGACAGAGAGAGAGAGAGAGAGAGAAAGAGAGAGAGACAGAGGGGTAAGAGAGAGAGAGAGAGAGATAGAGAGAGAGACAGAGGGGTAAGAGAGAGAGAGAGAGAGATAGAGAGAGAGACAGACAGACAGACAGACAGAGAGAGAGAGAGAGAGAGAGAGAGAGAGAGAGAGAGAGAGAGAGAGAGAGAGAGAGAGAGAGAGAGAGAGAGAGAGAGAGAGGGAGAGAGAGAGAGAGAGAGAGAGACAGAGAGAGAGACAGAGAGAGACAGACAGAGACAGAGAGAGAGAGAGAGAGAGAGATGAGAGAGAGAGAAGAGAGAGAGAGAGAGAGAGAGACAGAGAGAGAGAGAGAGAGAGAGAGAGAGAGAGAGAGAGAGAGAGACAGAGAGAGAGAGAGATAGAGAGAGAGAGAGAGAGAGAGAGAGAGAGAGAGAGAGAGAGAGAGAGAGAGAGAGAAGAGAGAGAGAGAGAGAGAGAGACAGACAGAGAGAGAGACAGAGGAGAGAAGAGACAGAGAGAGAGAGAGAGAGAGATGGGAGAGAGAGAGTAGAGAGAGAGGAAAATCGAAGAGACTATTTTTAGAGATAGAGAGATATACAGAGAGAGAGAGACAGACAGACAGACAGACAGGACAGAGTGACAGAGAGAGAGAGAAAGAGAGAGAGACAGAGGGTAGAGACACAGAGATAGAGCAGAAGACAGATTAGAGAGAGAGAGAGAGAGAGAAGAGAGAGAGACAGAGACAGAGACAAGAGGGGTAGAGAGAGAGAGAGAGTAGAGAGAGAGAGAGCGAGAGAGAGAGGAGAGAGAGAGAGAGAGCGAGATAGAGAGGGAGAGAAGATAGAGACAGACAGAGACATAGACAGAGGGGTAAGAGAATAGAGAGAGAGAGAGAGAGAGAGAGAGAGAGAGAGAGAGAGAGAGAGGATAGAGAGAGAGAGATAGAGAGAGCGACAGAGGGGTAGAGAGAGAGAGAGAGATCTAGCGAGAGATCAGCTAGGTTTAAGCTCAGAGAGCTTAGAGAGATAGAGAGAGAGAGAGAGAGAGAGAGACAGAGACAGAGACAGAGACAGAGACAGAGACAGATACAGAGACAGAGATAGAGAGAGAGATAGAGAGAGAGAGAGAGAGATAGAGAGATAGAGAGAGAGAGAGAGAGAGCGAGAGAGAGAGAGAGAGAGACAGAGAGAGAGATGATAGGAAAAGTATTTAAAAACTTTAAACCTCTTAAAGTTTCTATAGAAACTACACGAACTTCTACACTATAAAAGAAATAAAACTTTTGTTATTAAAAGTGTAATTGAGACTCTAGCAGAAACCCTGATAGAGTGAAAAATGTTATCAGTTTGAAGAGTTCACTTAAGGTTATCATCTTCTCTTGAGTTTAATGGAAAGTCTGAGATAAGTCTTGATGAGCTTAAGCTATGAGGGAAGCTGTATATGGTCGGTAACCATGGCAACCTTTGGAGAAATATATATTAAAAAAGCCCAATGGGAAGATAAATGTGTTTTTTGAAGGTTATTTTTGGTTTAAGTGTGATAGAAGTGTTTGTGTTTTTGAAAGGGCCTGATGGCTGAGTGGAGAGCGATTGGGGGTCGTAGTCCTAAGCGTCCGGGTTCGATCCCCGGTGGAAGGTGGAAACAAATAGGCAGAGTTTCTTTCACCCTGATGTACCAATTCACCTAGCAGTAAATAGGTACCTGGGAATTAGACAGCTGCCCCGAAAGTCTATGAGTGGTAGTGGTTGTACAAGAATGTAAAAATTGTAAATATACATAAATAACGAAATAAATTATTTACATGTGAGATGGCGGTATACTTATGTATACTATTTAATTGTATACTTAAGTTCCATAAAGAGTTAGGTAGTTTACGCAGTAGGTAAACTATAGACTGAAGAGCAAACTTAAGTTCCATAAAGAGTTAGGTAGTTTACGCAGTAGGTAAACTATAGACTGAAGAGCAATCAGTTTTCCTGTTCCAGCGCCTTAGTGTCGCGATCCACAGAGAAAATATCTTCTATATCCTGAACATTGCCCCTGCCCACGAGGAAGCATTACAGATTCTGTATCCTTATTTACATGTATGTCTGTATCTTGTAAGCCGCAGGAGAGGGGTTTAACTCCGTGTTGAACAGGGTGAACAGAGGTATGAACAGGATGAACAGAGGTATGAACAGCATGAACAGAGGTATGAACAGGGTGAACAGACGAACAGAGGTATTGCAATAGTCAATGCAGACGAGTCACAATAACGTGGCTGAAATATGTTGACCAGACCACACACTAGTAGGTGAAGGGACGACGACTTTTCGGTCCGTCTTGGACCTCTCTGACAATCGACTTGAGAATGGTCCAGGACGGACCGAAACGTCGTCGTCCCTTCACTTTCTAGTGTGTGGTTTGGTCAGCAATAGTCAAGCTTTAGTTAGTAAGCGTACACTTTTGACACGAACACTGTAATTACCTAAGTGTAGTTACAGGATGAGAGCTACGCTCGTGGTGTCCCGTCTTCCCAGCACTCTTTGTCATACAACGCTTTGAAACTACTGACGGTCTTGGCCTCCACCACCTTCTCACCTAACTTGTTCCAACCGTCTACCACTCTGTTTGCGAAAGTGAATTTTCTTATATTTCTTCGGCATCTGTGTTTAGCTAGTTTAAATCTATGACCTCTTGTTCTGAAAGTTCCAGGTCTCAGGAAATCTTCCCTATCGATTTTATCAATTCCTGTTACTATTTTGTATGTAGTGATCATATCACCTCTTTTTCTTCTAGTTTTGGCATATTTAATGCCTCTGAAATTCACTGTATTCACTGTATTTGTAAAAGTGTATTCACCTAGTTGTGTTTGCGGGGGTTGAACTTTGCTCTTTCGGCTCTCCTCTCAAAGCAAAGTTCAGATTGCAAGCAAAGTTCACCAGGATACAGGGGATAGGTAGTGACACAGGAAGGGTGAACATCGACTTCATAAAAGACACATATACATCCCTAGGAGGATACAGCCCGGATACACAGAGGAACTCCAATTGCATATGGATGAAGGGTCGTGAAATTGCGACATACCATCGGGCCAATACAATGACAAAAATGTATTTTTGTGCAATACAATAACAGGAGGATGGAAAATCATTTGCAATTTGCTACAAAAAATCAACGATTTCAACAATTTGCTAAACAATATCCGGCTGTTATACTTGAGTGAAAATAATTAAAAAAGGATGTAATTTCTCTGAACTTTAGTTTTAAATTACATTTTGAAGTGAATAGAGAATTTAAAGGTCATAGATCTGTAAACATGTATATATAAAAACACATGAAAACACACATATTAGACTAGACAGGTCTTGGGAATAGGTAGTCGGGGTATTGAGCTCCGACCATGCAGCAAGATTCATTTCTTGACACTAAATTGCTTGAGGCAGAGCGACGGTGTATTTTTTTTGCTTGACCGGAGTTCGATCCTCGATAGTACAAGTGGTTGGGCATCGTTCCTTCACTCTGTCTTTCATATCCAAGTTCCTTGTCATCGTATCTTCTTCCTAGGATATCTTGAGATTACTTCGGGGGTGTAGTGTCCCCGCGGCCCGGTCCTCGACCAGGCCTCCACCCCCAGGAAGCAGCCCGTGACAGCTGACTAACACCCAGGTACCTATTTTACTGCTAGGTAACAGGGGCATAGGGTGAAAGAAACTCTGGGACTTGAGTCTAAGTCCAATTGTATATTTCACTAATGGTAAGTCCAGTTAAATATTATTACACTAGTAGCAAGTCCAGGGGAATATTATAATTTATTAGTAGTAAGTCCAATGGCCTTTAATGGTCCAATGGCCCTCAATGGCCCTCAATGGCCCTCAATGGCTCTCAATGGTCCAGTGGCACTAGTTCCCCTCAGGTAAATTCAGGTAAACTCAGGAATATTTCACTGTACTGGCAACAAGTCCAGCTGAATAGTGCATGTGTGGAAAGTCCATATATATATATAAATACATATTTACAAACATAATGA